TCAGGACAGTGCAACTAAAGACATTCACAAGAGCATAGCTATAGATGCACACAGAAAGTACACACTCCTAAATTCCCAGAAAAAAACAAACTCATTTCAATTGAGCAGAAAGTAAAATGCTGGTAAAACCACATAAAATCAGTTCTTTATATGGTAGAGGATAAGTCAAATCACAGTTCAATTTGTTCTACAATGAAGTAAGGTTCACACATTTTCCACCAATTTAGAATACAAATTGTATTCTGAGGACCCTGAAAAAATATTGCTCTGAGTTCGTAAGACCTATTTCATGTTTCTCTTCCTGGGCATAGAAATCTGTGTTCCCACTGTCCTTTGCAACCCCATTGGACCATGTGACTAATTCTGACCAATAGGTGTAAGCAGAAGTGACATAAGTGAAAGCACAAAAAGTGAATATGAATCTCCTGTGCTCTCTGTTCCCCTGTCTCAAGAGCCTAGAAGTCATATGGTAAGACAGTAGAGGTGCAATCAAAGGCACAGATTGAAAGGGAGCTTCCCTGGAGAACCATGTGGCTTCCAGTGAAGTTTCAGTAAAGAAGAAACAGATGTCTGTTAAATTTGGAGACAATAATCTAACCTGACATTTTAGTCTAACTCAGGTGATGGTGAGGCCTCACTCTTGTGATACATATTCGACTAGCATAATATTCAAAAGCAAATGAACCACTAGGAAAAAAGCAGCTCAGAATTTCTCATGATTCTTGATTGCTTAGTTCATAACTCTCTTCAGAGCGTGGTGCTACAACTATGTCCTTGTATTTCCCTTGAAATCATAGACTGTAGACCCCAGGATAAAGGAAATGTTTCTTTAGTATTCCCAAGTAGTCCTCCAGGGACAGCTTGAATTCTTAGAGAGGAAAACAAAGTGGGGGGATTCTTTCTACTTCACAAAGCAGCTACTCCTGCATCACTGTGATTATTAGAAATTTATTCCTTTAGACAATCTAAAATCAGGCTCTGGGCTACTTCCACCCTTGGCTTTCTTAATTTTACTTTCTGAATTTCTGGAATAACAAAGAACCAGTCTAAACTTCTCTCAAACTTCTCTCCTTTGGGCCGGTGTTTTAATCAAAGAAGATTTCTTTCCAGAAGACTTGTTAATCAAGCTATTCCTTATAAATCAAATCCCAATAGAATATAGGTCAAAGCATCGTTCTGATTACTTTGTTGTGCTAGGATTTTGTGATATATAAAATATTTCATAAAACTGGAATTCCACCGGGGGCCTAACACTGCTCCATTTATAGGAAGATTTGCATCACAGTAATATTTGTTTTATTGAGACTTAACCTCTCCACTGTGCTGTTAAGTGCTGGAGTATGAATGTGGGAAATAGCTCTCTAGCACCATAACCTCAGAAAAAAATGTCAGAGAAATGCAGGCAAATAGATTATGATTGCATCGACAGCCCTTTTCATAAGCTAATGGGCTGTCTAACCTATTCATGACTGCTGTCCCCCATAGGGTCTTGTAAGCAGATTGCCAAGGAGTTTGTTGAATTTGGCAAATTGATACACTGGGCTTGTTTGACTTCCCCTTTCTATGACTGACTGTTCGGCACTTTAACAATACATGAATGTGCTTAGCACACCTAATGGGGCATTAGTTAAGGTAAATAAGTGATTCCGTTGAGAACTGTAATGCTAACACAGACAGAATCTACTCTCCTTCCTTGTAATAGTAGAGTCTCTTTATGTTTTAAGCAGAAAATTTCAAATGTGTGCTTATATGTGAGGCTTCCGAATCCTCTCGTTCACACTTAAAACTCCTGCAGAAAAGGTACCATAAGGTACCATACAAATTACAGTCCTGCAGTTTTATTTACAGGACTGAAGGCGTCAAATCAGCCTAAGGGTTTAAAAGAACATAAAAATGTTTAGCCTTGCTACAATAAAAAAAAATTTAACTTAAATTAGAATATCTGATGTTGGCGTGGCTGAGGAAACATTTTTATACATTTCTCATGGGAGTATAAATTGAGGCACTCTTCCTGAAAGGCAACTTGGCAAATATTATTTAAAGTATGCATACCCTTTAACCCAAACCCAATGATTTTACTTCTAGGAATTTATAGTAAGGAAGTAATAATGGGTGTGTGCAAAGATTCATTTATCAAGATGCTTATTGCAACATTCTTTATAATAGCAGCACCTGAAAAAAAAAAACCACCAAATAACCAACAAAAGAAATTTGGATTTTTAGAAAAACATGATATTCTTCTATAAAATGTCATATGATATATGCCTTTAAAATCTTGCTATTGAAGAATTATATAATAACGTGAGAAAACATGCACAAAATAAATTTTTAAAAGCAGATTTCAAGAGAAGTTCTTCATGATACCAAGTTTACCGACACCCAAACAAACATAGATTAAAGATATGTCAATATTTAGCCATGCTTATTTGTGAAAATTGGGATCATGAGAAGTTTGTTTTTTTTTCTTTCTCTCTTCTGTGTTTTTCTAAATGTTTTATGGTGAGCACAGAATATATTTGATGTACAATAATATTAAGGGTTTAATCTTTTATGTAAAAAATTCTGATTTTTCAAGGTGCTATAATTACAAAGAAATCGGGCACATTTTCCCCACTGGCTGAAATCACCACACTAGGTAAATCAATCCTCTTTTGGCATCTTTTAATTACAGAACCAAACATATTCCATCTTTTAAAGCAAGCTTGGAAACTAATGGACAATTCTATAATTAACCAAGATAACCAATTCAGTTCCACCTGAAATAAAGAGGTTTGTGGAGTTTTTCAAATTAAGAAAGGAATAGTGTCTTTAATTCTTCTGGGAAAATATCCAGAAGGGGAATAACTGGGTTAAATGGGACCACTAATCCTAATTTTTTAAGGAATCTCTAGACTGATTTCCAAAGCAGTTGCACCAGTCTACACTCCCACCAGCAGTGGAAAAGGGTTCCTTTTTCCCCACAGCCCCTCCAGCATTTGTTGTTGGTTAATTTCATGATGATAGCCATTCTTACTGGGGTAAGATGAAATCTCAGTATTGTTTTAATTTCATCTCTGGAATGACCAATAATGTTGAACATTTTTCATGTATTTACTTGCCATTTGCATTTCTTTATCTGAGAAGTGTGTATTCATCTCAGATTCCCATGAAGAATTAACAACATCATACTACAGCAATATATGTGCACCCATGTTCATAGCAGCACAATTTGTCATAGCAAAATTTTGGAAACAATCCAAATGCCCACAAGCTGAGGAGTGGATAAGAAAAATATAGTATTTTTATACAATAGAATATTACTTAGCTATAAAGAAAGATAAACTCAAGGCTTTTATATAGGTAAATGGATGCAACTAGAGACCATACTCATAAGTGAAATAAATCAGACTCACATGTGTAAACACCATATTGTCTCCCTCGTGTAAGAACCTGAAAGAGTAAATAAAACTAAAAGGTACAATAAATATTGTGAAAAGGAAAGAAACTACTTAATAAGAAAGAACAATTGAGATGAGAGAAAGAAAGAAGGAATATCTATCTACCTAGAGAGAGATAGAGAGATAGAGAGATAGAGAGATAGATAGATAGATAGATAGATAGATAGATAGATAGATAGATAAGCACACAAGGCCAGGTGTAGTGGCACAGGCCTGTAATCCCAGCACTCAGGAGGCTGAGGCAAGAGGATCATTGCGAGTTTGAGACCAACCTGGACTACAAAGTGAGCTTAAGGCCAACCTGACCTGCATAACAAGACTCTGTCTCAAAAAGACAAAAAATAAATAAATCAATAAACACACAAAATAGCAAAGGTAATTGTACTATTAATTTCTATTGGTTTATTGAAAGAACAGTTAATGTTTAATTGTCTGATAAATCTTGCATACCTACATCTGGTAATCTAAGCAACTACTTTGAAGACAACAATAAGTAACACAACCATTGCTGATTTCCTATCATCTTGTTTTGAAATTCTATATCGTTTTTATAGTTTTTGTATTGTTTTGTTTTTATCTTTGTTTTTGTTCTTTTCTCTTTAAAATAAAAATTAGAAAAGAAAAAAAAAAAGAAAGAAAGGAATAGTGGTATCACCGTGCAAGGGCATTTTATGTGGAGTCCAAACAGCTATTATCAATTTCTAATTCTGATATTAACTGGTAGGAGATTTGAGCAAGTTGTCCCATACTTGAATTAAATAGATACATAGATATCTTTAAAAATAAGTGAAAAAATCCCTGAAAGATCAATGTGTATTTACCTAAGATACCACCAAGGAAGTTACACATTACATGTTTCACAGCTTTGGGTCATTTGTAGCCTAGAATTCCGATAACAAATAGCCAATCTCAGTTATAACAACAGAAAGAATCTTATTTCCTCTTCTCTTGGCTCTGTCTACTGTGTGGATTTGAAACACAGCATGCACTCAGGCACAAAGTGAATAAATTATAAATGTGCAGCTTAACAAATGATTGCAAGCTGAACCCCTGTGTACGCCTGTACTCTAGTTAAGATACAGAACAGAGCCATATCTCAGAAGCCTGCATGTGCCCTTTATCCAGCGACACCTCATTCCTCCCCTCTCCATCACCACTCTCCTGACATAACTGTGATCACTTCCTTGATTGGTTTTATGGTTTTACCAGCTAAGTATGCATTTCTGAACAATATAATGGACTTGTGTTTATTTTTGAACTGTACATAGATCAGCTCAGGCAGGGAAAAATTGTCATGATAATGAAGGTAACAAACATTTTGTGAAGGGTCAAGCATACATGAGCAAATGACATCACTTTTAGTAATACTATTATGTGAGAGATGTACATGCTGAATCGCAGTCCTGCAAAGCAGGTGGCCAGTGTCACAATTTTGAGGTTGAGTCATTTCCAATCACATCTAGAGGATCTCGCCCTTCCAGATGTAGCACAAGCTCAAGTTCAGGGCTTCGCTAGGGCTCTTTGTTTGTGACTTTTTGTGGACCTGGATGGAAAAGTACTTACCAGAGGTTGAGGGGGTCTGCGAATATGTGCTTTGTTCATAAACTAGCAAGCTTCCCTCTGCTGAGTGAGTTCCTCAGCTTTTATCAAGGCTCTAAGGTCACATCTGGTTAATCGTTGGCCAGAAATCAATACACAGAGACCGATGGTTTCTGATAAGAGCTTATAATAAGCAAGTTCAAGTTCAAGAGAGCAGCTGTCCTTTTTACTTTCAGATCCTGAAGGGAAGGTGTAGATCCCCCTTGCCTGGGAAAAAGATATAACCTTATTCATATGCTAGCTAAATCAAGAGTTACTTGCTTATAAAAATAAGTCTTCTTCCCCTCCTTGGCCAATTCCTTAGGCTCAGCTTCTCCAAAGAGGGATATATATATTCAGTTCTAAAGAAATGCTTCAACCTGTTTTCTGGTGTCTGAAGGCCTCAGATTTACAGGTACCTTTTGTTCCAGTTCAAGGACAGTCCTGCTGCTCTTTGATGTTAGCAGCTACCTTGTGAACTGATCCATGGGGGTCCAAGTGCCCAAGGCTCAGTATTTCAGTGGGTTTCCCGGCTGGCACTTGGCCAGTACTAGCCATTCCTCTTGTGCAGCCACCCACGCATGTGTACATGAGCACACGCGTGTGTGAATGGGTGGGTTATATTCAAGCATGTGTCGGCACACTGTCTGGTTCATTCCCCAGGTAAGTCACATTACTGGAGACTGTAGCAATAACAATGCCTTTGAAGTAGGAAATGTGGGGTAAATAAATGAAAAAATAAATGAGCAATGCTTCCCGTGGCTCCATACACCTCCATTCCTCCTCTTCTCACAGCTGAGGCCAGTTGAATTCTGCCTTCAAGCTCTATCCTGTCCTATTAGTAGGACCTGTATAAGACTTAGTTCAGGAGGATTCCAGAGGCTATAGTGTAGATTCTCAAAAAATCTCAATATTTAATGTATCTGGCTAATCCTTCATCTGAATTCAAATTTGTATGACTTCCTTGTTTGAGTCTCATAGGCCGCCTATTCATAGTCTCACAGGACTCTACCATAGGCCTCTACCAGTTACTCCTAGTTTGAGTAACTGAAACACTTGATACCCATTCCAGGGCATGTGTTAATTATTTCTACTCATGTAAAGGGTAGACATAACCCTGATCACTACCAGTAGTTAGGACTCTTCTTCTTGGCTTTTTATGTTGCTCAGACCCTGCCCAAACTAATATGGGACATTCTCTCATTACTGAGAGAATTTCTGCTGGTATCACTGCCTTTCCTTGGATTTCCCTGGTCCTGACCAGCACTTCTCACTATAAGTGCCATGTGTACTATCGGTCCACTGGAATTCCTCATCCCACTGTTAGCTGAGTCTTCCCCTAAGTCACCATGGTGGGTGTCTCTAACCTATTTCCATTCTTCTTTTGACCCACCCTTCCCTTTGCCTACAGAAAAACTCTCAAGTTTTTAAAGTAAATAAAACAATGAAAATTAAAAGTAGATTTCAAAGCAAGTAAATAAAAATAAAACAATCATACATGTTGTTAAATTCAGTATGAATGGAAAAACATACCATGTTCATGGATTAGAAGACTCAGTATAGAAGATAGCAGCTCCATACAAATAGATATATCACCTGGGTGTGGTTGTTCACACTTGTAATCACAGCACTTGGAAGGCTAAGGCAGAAGGATCACCATGAATTTGAGGCCAGCCTGGGCCATGTAGTAAGTTCGTGGTCTGAACTGCATAGTGAGACCCTGTTTGAAAAACAAAACACAAACAAACAAGGAATAAATAGATATTGAATTAATGAAATTCCAAAGAAAATCTCCAGCAATTATTTTGGTCATACAAAAGCTGATCCTAGACTATATGGAAAGATAAGAAAATTAAAATAAAAACAATTTCTAAAAGAAGAATAAATTTAGAGGAGTCACCATATCTGGTTTTAGGCCAGCTATAAAGCTTTCAGACATTCTAGAACTGGCAAGTAGAAAAACACAGAAAAGGAAAGAACAGAATAGTTGATTTTTTTGCAGAGGTACAAAAGCAATTCAATTCATTTTCAAAACTTCACACTGAAACTACTGGATGTCTATACAAAAATATATGAACCACTTATATCTAAACCTCATAATTTATTTAAAAATGACTAAAAGTGGGTTAATTTAAATCTAAAACTATAGAACTTTTAGGATAGTAAATGAGATAAATATTCCTAATCTAGGGCTGAGAAAAGATTTTTTCAATGTGAACTAAAAATACATAATTAAAAATGATAAGATTGAACTTTATCAAAATTAAAATTATTTATCCATGAAAGAGACTATTAAGAGAATGAAAATATATGATAAAAACTAGGAAATCTACTTGCAATTCTCATATCTGACAATAGACTATTGTCTAAAATATGTAAAGAACTCTCCAAGCTGAGCAGCAAATAGTATACAATGTCATCTTTCAAAATCTATGAAAACATAAATGAACAGCTCATCATAAAGAATAGACTGATGATAAAACCATACACGTAGAAGAGCTCAGCACCCTTAGTCATTAGGAAGTAAATCTGAAAAGCACAGTGAAATCTCACTGTACACATCTTTGAATGGCTTAAACAAAATTGATTTTTAAAACTGATAGCAGCAGGTACTGACAAGAATGTAAAACAACTGGTTCTCTTTCTCTCTGTCTCTCCCTCTCTGTCTCTGTCTCTCTCTCTGTCTCTGTTCTGTCTCTGTCTCTCTTCTGTCTCTCCCACATTTCTACTGAGAAAATTAGTAGGTAAAGTACTTTGCAAAACAGTTTGGTGGATCCTTAAAATGTAAAGTACATGCCATATGATCCAGTGAAATATATGTTCATATAAGAACCTGGTATAAATGCTGATAACAGCTCTATTCATGGTACAACCAAAGTGGAAACAACTCACATTTTCTTCTTTGGGAGGATGGATAAAAACAGCACAACTAGATAACAGATACTCCTCAACAAGAGCAAAAAAAAAAGAAAAATTATTGTACATATCTCAAAAGCATGTTGAATGAAAGAATCTGGCTTTTAGAAGTTATAACCTGTGTGACACTGTTTATATGACATTCTGGAGAAAGCAAAACTATACAACAGAAAACATAATAGTACCTGGTACAGGTTAAAGGTAGAAAAAGGATATGATCCCAAAGGGTAGCTCAGGAGTTTTTGAGGTGATTGAACTGTTTATCCTGACTTTTGTAATGGTTGCAAAATTATACAGAGCTAAAACTCACAAAATTGTACTTTAGAGCATATCAATTAAAAATTGAAGCTAACAAATAGTATTAGCATACTCTATCCCATTCCCTTTCTGTATGCATATATATTAATAGAATTATTCCATATTGCATAGCAATGTATAACCCATTTTAATTTCAAAATATCATAAGTAACTTTTGATATGATTAAATAGGCACTTATATACCAAATTTTAGTGGTTGGTTTTTGTTGCATCAAATGGACATAACACATATTATATAAAGGCTTCCTTGTTGTGGGCATTTTTATTATTTCTAAGTTTTTAATATTAGAAATGATGTAATAATCAGTCTTGTAGCTAAATATCTGCCCAAACCTTAAACTTTTAAGGTTTAGAAGTGATTTACAAGTGGAATTGCTGGGTTAAGGTTATAAACTTTTTAAAGGTCTTTGACATATTTGCCAAAATGTCCTCCAGAAAACTAGGGCCCAAATTCCATTCTCAGGAGGCAATAGGAGTAATTCTGCTATTTCATGACAGATAGGGTTAATACTTCAAAAAGGCCTTCTATATCAATACATATGGGATCCCCTTTGAACAATAAAGCAGCCCATAAGAACCTTACACTCAGGGGGCTGGGGATTTAGCTCAGTGGCAAAAGCGCCTGCCTGGCAAGTGCAAGGTTGTGAGTTCGGTTCCCGGTACTGGAGAAAAACCAAAAAAAAAAAAGAGCCTTACACTCAGCCTGACACATAGAAGGCTTTGTTTAATATTTGTGCTTGGTTTTTGATAAGATTAAACAAATAAACTAGAGTTTTCTTTGGCAATGACTTTTCCTATTTAAAGCTGAATCCTTTAGAGTTACTTAGCTTTACAAGCAACATCATCAGCTCAATAAGATAACAGTGGTCTCTGAATGGTTTTTATGAAATCTCTCTGATTACACAGTCTTGAACATTTCCCCCAAAACATTCATATGAGTTTTTGTATGAGGTATACATACTCCTTTTAAATCTGTACCTTTAAGTATGGTAAAACTTAACTTCTTTTATTTTCCGCTTATTTATTTATTTATTTATTTATTTATTTTTGTCTTTTTGAGACAGGGTTTCCCTATGCAGTTCAGGCTGGCCTTGAGCTCACTTTGTAACCCAGGCTGGTCTCAAACTCACAACGATCCTCCTGCCTCAGCCTCCCAAGTGCTGGGATTACAGGCGTGCACCACCATGCCCTGCCCAAACTTAACTTGTTTTTAAATTTTTGGTTAAAGTAAGCATAAGCAGAAACTCTGTTTCCTTCATGTTTTCCAAAGGATTATTCTGTACTTTCCCCTCGGGCCACATACATTTTTTCAGATTACAGTTCTGAGAAGCCCAGGAGCTCGGCGTTCTGTGCTTTGCAACATGAGCATCACAGAAATGGATAACGCCATCCCTGCCCTAGGAATTCTGTTTGCAGGGAGCTGAAAACAGAAGCCAGGAGAACCTCAGAGATATTAGAGTTTGAAAGCAAGAGAGGAAGACTGCTTCTGACTGGGGAAGAGAACAGTCCTCAGGAAAGAGGAGGCCCTGAAACGGGTCATGCAGTTCAAAAATAATTTTGTGTTCTACACCCCGAGGAAACCCCTCTCTAGGCGCGCTCTGTTCCAGTTTTAGCAACATTACAGGATGTTAGGGTAAGAAGGCTGTTAAGTGAGGAAGGCTCTGTACACCTGCCATGTATGACTGTTGGTGGGTTTTTCTTTGTGCCTTTTTTTTTTTCCTGTTTGTTTAATGTATGTTTTTTCCTCTTGTTTCAGGACATAGTGACATACATTTTGGTTTGGGCAAAGGACATGGCTGGATGGATGTGAAGAGAGAGACACCCCTGGTAGAGATGGGTGAATTTTGGCAGGTTAGTGTCTGGTATTGTTTCTTTATTTTCCCTTTGTTCAATGTGAGAAGCACACCTTCCTGAGTAAGTGATCTCCTAAGGACAGGCGATCGCCCAAGACCTTTTCTTCTTTCATTGTTTCTGAGGTAGCCAAGTATAATTCCACAAACACTGTACTAGATGAAACTCCTGGAATGTTCTTAAAATACAGGTTGAACCTTGTCACTACCCTGATTAGCAGCTCTAGTGAATTTTTTTATCTATAGAATAAAACTCAAATTTCCCATGGTGGCATTCAAGAAACTTCAAATTCTGGGCTTCTCCTTGATACCCGTTACTTTCCTCCGGTCTCTACCACACCTGCCAAACCATATGCTCCTGCTCACACACTAGCTTCACACCCTACAAGTCAGCAAACTCCCCACCACCCTGCACCGTCCAAGTCTCCCCTATCTCTGTGTCCCAGTTCAGAAATTAGAGGGATAAAAGCAATAAGCTATCTTAAATAAGATATCTTATGAACTTGTACCAACTCCCCAAGATGAATATAATCATTATGTATTGCAAACATGTATTAATAAAAGTTTTTAAATTTTTACATCGTAAAATATGTTTGCCACTCAGTAAAAAAAGCCATCTTGTTGGTGAAGACTCCACTCTCTTATGTTCTTCCTTCTCTGGCAAAATCAAATATCCTTATCCTCTCCTGAGCACTCTCTCTCTCTCTCTCTCTTTCTCTCTCTCGCCATCATTTTTCTTAATATGTCTTATAGTGCAGTTGGCTGTGTCCAATCATGTCTCTTGGTGAAGAATAAATGATCTCTCGGGGTAGAATGAAATCTTAAATTATCTCTTTCTACTGCATTACATCTCATTTCAGTGAAAAGGCAGGATTGCCAACCTGTTTTAATAAACTGAGCCAACTCTCATCTCATCTAAGAAGCTGTTTAAGTTTTTCTAAGTTCCAAAGATTTGCATAAAACTGGAAGAAGAATACATTGGATAAGGAGGCTTCAAAGTTTGGTTCTGGCTTCTATTGAAGAAGCCTGTGGAATTCTTGAGAAGTTTAGGAGATAGTTAAATATACCTGGCTAGACACAAGAAAAGGCACAATTTAGTACTCATTACTATATAGATGATAACAAAAACTGTAAGAGACCATAAGATTCCCAGACTGAATATAATGTGAGTAGTGCGCCAAAGATAGAATCTTATGAAATGCCAGTATTTGACAGTAAGGGAAAGGAATATCCTCAAAGGAAAACAAGGAGTCATAATCAAGAAGATACAAAGACAACTAGACATTTGAAAGTTTCAAAAAGGAAGGAAGTGGTAAGATGTAGAATGCTACAGAAGACCAACAGAGAAAGGGCTAGAGTATTCATGGACTTTGGCAGTTGGAAAGTCTTTCACATAGCAATAAAAGCAGTTTCCATGTGGTTAAGTGATGAACTGATACTACGCTAAAAAGAGGAAAATTATTTCAAAGGCTTAAAGAAAAATGGAAGAAGAGGGGGCTGGGGATTTAGCTCAGTGGCACAGCGCCTGCCTGGTAAGCGCAAGATCATGAGTTTGATTCCTGGTACCAGAAAAACAAAACAAAACAAAA